GCTGAGGGGAGCTTCAAAGGTTTCTACGTGTTTTTGCAGCGTTGAGTAATACATAACAGACATATCTCATGAATCCTTTTATAGCCTAAGCAAAGTGTAGACAGGGAGTAAATAAGAGATTCATTGTGCAGTGTAGAGAGCTTCGTTGATTATAAATGTGAGATCACGAACTAAGATGAATGACAGCTTTTAATGATTTTTAAGGGAGTTTGTAAATGTGATACTGATTTAATACAACAGTTCAATAAACAAAGTTAATTACATTACATTGTCTTACTATAACACTATTGTCTGATTTTGCTCTATTTCGTCGTCAAAAATACAGACACAGCGGAGCCGCAGCGCATCTCCATTCAAACACAGCAGTGTTTCGTTTATGAATTAACTTTTTTTTTTTTTAAACGAATCCAGTGAGTCAGTGATTCATGATTACCCATTGATAAAGACAGTCCCTTGATTAATTCCTGAATGATTCAGCCGTCCGAATGAATCAATTGAATGAATGATTCAGTGATTAAATCAGTTTTAGTTTAATTTTTAAAATATCTTTTCAGTTATTTAAATAATTTAATATTTCTATATTAAAAATTGTATATTTAAAACATTAATCTCATCATGAATTTATGGATTTAATTGCACTCATGCCACCTCTGAGCCTCATTAAATGTCTGAAAATACACCAAGCCACTTTTGTGTTCTACTGTGCCACCTCTGTACAAATAAATTTGGTTAATACTGATTACATTTGATTGGTAACTTATGTTTCTTATTCTACTTGTTCTTATTCTGTCGTTTTAATTACAATTTTTTAAAATATTTTTATAATTTTTTAAGAATTTGACAAAAGATGACACTTTTAATAAAGTTAGAAAAATGCCATTACAAAGGTAAAAACAACATTCACTTTAAATGAATTTTTACAATTTACTATAAATCACTTTGAGTCAAATATCACCTCGTAATGGGAAGGCACATTTTGGATAACATTTTGGATTATTGATTAGAAGGTGCTCCTAAATTTTTTAAGTTAGGAGCACAAGTGCTCGTAAAAGAAAAGTAAGCGTAGAGCCCTGTAGAGGGTACAAGACTGACCCATGTGAGGTTGCCGATATACAGAGCGATTCGTTTGCCAGTGTAGGTGTAGACGACGTTCGGCGCAGCTCCTTTGTTCCCCTCGGATCCTCCCGGCGCAGGCAGGTTGTCCAGGTAATCTCGGTCTTCAGGTGCGTCCCCGTTGTTGGCAGATGGTGACATGACATCATCATACAGGTCAATCTGCTCATGAACAGGATAATCTGACTCCTGTGGAAGAGCAGAAAGACAAACACGCATTTCAGAAATATTCACAGGACAGGCATCTCAACCATGAGCCATCACGGAGATACTAGTTAATTCTTTCCTGGTTTTCATTTTAGTTGACATTTCAGTAATTTTGTTGCGCTTATCACTTTTATTAATTTAAATAATTTTTTCTTTATAGAAATGTATTTAAATTAATTACATAAAGTAACTATTTATATCTATTATTTTCCTGTTTTAACTTTAATTTGTTAAATATTTAGTTTAATTTTATTTTTAGTAATTGTGTTGTGTAAAAAATTATCTAACATATATTTTTCATGTTATTTAAATATTACTTTTAAAAAAAATTTGTGCTCGACATTGATTAGTTTCCTTTTAAAAATATTTAATTTAATATTTTTGGTTTTCATTTTTATTTTAAAGTTTAGTAATTTTGTTGTTTGTCATTTTACTAGTTTCTTTTTTAAATGTCTATAAATTTTATTGCATTTTTTTCAGTTTGTTATTTAGAACTAGGGCTGTGCGATTAATCGAAATCGTCATAAAATTGCGATTTGAGCATGCGCGATTTATCGCTTTATAGCACGATTTTCCGTGCCCCCGACTTCGCGCAGTATGCAAGCCGAACCAATCAGAATGCAGCGCACCTAAATGGAGCACGAGAACAGAACAGACACGGGCGGTAGGCTTGCCGCGATAGACGGTGTTAAGCCGCAACACCGGTTACGTCACTTGCCCACCACATCACTGACCCCCACGTCGTTTCCATTTTTTTATAGTAATAAAAATAATTTAGTTCAGTAAAAGAACAGACACTAGTTAAAAACTGAACGCGGCTGCTCAATGCAGCGTGCCGAACGTCGGTCGCATCACAGATCAGATTTAATTTCTCCAGTGAGGAGAGCGAGTCGAGCTGACTGACAAGAAGAGTGAGGTGAGACAGACAAGACGATCGCGGATGATTTAGTTTCTAAACTAGATGCAAAAGCGCCTGTTTGGCAATATTTTGGATTTGAAAAAGCCTGTTGAGACTTTTGCCGTTTATCTAAGGTGATTTTGGAAGTTTTTTTTAAAACATTCTTTTCTTATTTAATTGGTTCCACATTGTTTGCTGATTTTATTTATTTAAACTGTCATTTATTTATTTTATTTGACATTCGTTTTGCTAATAAACGTTCTACGTTTCTTATTTATTTGGTTATATATTATACATGTTTACTTATTTCCAGTTTTGTATACCTATTAAACTTTATGCAAGTTATTTGTTATTTTATATTAAGCATAGCCTGCCCTATAGCATGGTGTATTTTTATTTGTTTTGTTAATAAAAGTTTTATGTTTTATATATACGCTAAAGTGAGTTTGCCGTTGTATTTGGTTGTTGCATTCAAGCAATTGACGCCGAACTGCCGCTAATTCAAAAGTGAAAGTAAAATGCGCACGGCGCTATTTAAAAGGGAAGAAAAGCGAGGAAAAGAGGGAACGCCCCGCCCCCGCGTTGATACCGGTATTACCGCTGTTGTCACACGTCGATTAACCGGTGGAAAAATGTCCTCACCGTCACAACCCTACCGGGCGGGCATACAAATGTAACGCCAGGTTCACACACTCCGTCTGTGGAGCGTATTTTTTCCGCGCCCATGTTAATGGATCAGAGCGTTCACACTGCACGCGATTGCGGTCCGGCAGTGCGCTCCAGGAGTGGTGCGTCTGCAGCAGTCATGCTGCGATCGTTTCCGCACGGAGTCTATTTCTGCTGTGCAGCACGCGCTGAAATAAAGTGACAGCACATTATTCACTGTAATAATTAACATGGATTGACACGGAAATTTAGTAATTACACCATAAATGCATGTAATTAAAGTTTACTGTTTCACAGTCAACACATGGCTTTTTGGCTAGATTTAAAACAAGGAAAAGTGCACTTTTAGATAAACAAGGCAATAACAGAAGGCACTTGTGCTGGTAGTTAAAGTTATATTTATTGAGTTTAATGACAAGCCTTTTCTTTCTTTCTGCCATATGTCTATTCTAGAGACATTTTGTTACACCTTAGTGATTATTTTGCCTTATGTCTGTTCTAGAGACATGTTACAGCTTTTTGATAAAGCTCTAATTGGTTTTCTTTTGGAAATATGTTTCAAATTCACATTGAATGCATTAATGACTGTAAAGCATGCCTGTGTGTGTCAAAATCGTGATTAAAATCGAAATCGCAAAATGTATCAAAGAAATCGCCATAGGTTTTTTTTATCCATATCGCACAGCCCTATTTAGAACATCCCGTTACATTAAGCGGAAGTAATTTTTTATAATTAATTTCATTCATTTTATTTCAAGTAATCAATTCTCTAACGGTTTTAGTTAACTATACCACCAATTATTCAGCAATCTTATATAAGCATCATAGAACAATTTATAGAATAAATATTTAGAATATGGTCTCTTTATTAGTAAGTATAAACGCATTAGAAATCTTTAAAAACACAAAATCGACACACTTTAAACGCACATATTTCTAAATAAATAAAGTCTTGCAATCAATCAAGATTCCCTGATGGTAAGATTTGAACTCCTGCTTCCAAAGCCAATTTGCATATTATTAAACCGAACGGCCCAGCGTCGCGTCTGTGCAAAGGTTAAACTTGCATCAGCTTACAAGCAAATCTTTGAGACTTCGTGAACACGTTAAATGTCAGGTTTATTAATCATAAACGTCGCTCGGTCTGGTTTAAACGGTACTGCGCGCCGCGCTCGGCCTGCTGTAAGTTAGCTGCACGAGAACAAACAATGAACGCACGCGACGCAACGGATTCCGACTCGCGCCACAAATACAAACAGTAACGTAATACAACTATTATATAAATACCCAACAACAAATAAGAAATGTAACCGAGTTAACCTTTATATTACCATGTAACGTTACACAGACGCTGCTCGCTCGCTCGCTAGCTAGCTGCTAGACTTAGCAGACGCCTTAGTAAATCCCCAGAGAGCGCTGCATGTTTCTGTGGGCTTCCTTTCAATCTGTACAACACGCAGAATATTTATTATTAAGCAAGTGTAGATGCTCAAAGTGAACCTGACCTGATTAAATTCCTCTTCTACATCGGCGTAAATATCGATGTGGTCGACACCGTCCGCCATTTTCTGTTTCCCTCCTCCTCGGTGCTCGCGCTGTGCGTGAAGAAGAGACGTCGATACGTGAAGCCAGAAACTCCCGCCCAAAAAACCGACGATTCGCTCTGATGGACTTTACGCAATTTCAAAATAAAGCGGAATTTTGAAGTGTGTTTTTTCCCTGACTTGTCACGTTGTGCTAAGATTCACTTTATTGTCTTTATAGTCATACTTTCTTTATACATTAATAATATTAGCTTTAATTATGTTTCCTTTAAATTATTTTAAGTTTTTTAATCTGTCCCACTCAAAATAATTTGCTGGGTATTATTAAATTTGTCTTTGAATCATGCTTTTTATACCTGCTAGTTAACTAGATTAGAATAGAAACACATTTTCCAAGTAAATGTTTGTCGGGACTCTTAATTTGAAATTTGACTCGCAACCGAAGACGAAATCCTATGTGCGCTACATACAGAGGCTTTCTTCATAGAGAAACATGTACTCCAGTCCAGTAGGTGGCGGAAATGCCCCTTTTAAGTGGGTTTGCCAACTGCCATTAAAAGAAAAGAAGAAGAAGAAGAGAAACATGTTTGTCAACCGCCAATAAAATTTCAAGAAGAAGAAGAGAAACATGTATTTTGTGCTTAATGGCAGTTCCGAACAGTAATTCAGTTCAGTTCCAAACTGTCCTCATTTCGTAGAAGCCCATCCGAGTAAAACACTTGACTCTCTGTGTACTATGTTTAAGAGGATGGCTGAATTTGGCCCAGATTCGGGGGGTCGGGTGAAGGTAGGTAACGTTAGCGAGCATGATGCTAATGCTGATGTTTATTTACAATAACAGTGGATTTATGCGTTTTTTATAATCCAGGGAGTGACTATCGTGAAACCTATCGTGTTCGGAAACGTTGCACGATATTTTGGCAAGAAAAGAGAAGACGATGGTCACACTCATCAGTGGACAGTTTATGTGAAGCCCTACAGAAATGAGGTCGACTCTTATTTCATTATAAGTGTTGCATATGAATGCTAAATTTAATATGAAGTATACTAACAAAGTGCTGTTTTTTTGTTTTGTTTTGTTATTTCCCCAATGATATTCCCAGGATATGTCTGCTTATGTCAAAAAAATACAATTCAAACTGCATGAAAGTTACGGGAACCCTTTAAGAGGTGTGCAATTTATCTTCTAATATTATAGTGTAATATCAAAAATGTAACTCCCTGATTTAAACTCCCTCTTCGTATTATTTCAGTGGTTACAAAGCCTCCGTATGAGATTACTGAGACTGGATGGGGAGAGTTTGAGATCATCATAAAGATCTTCTTCATCGATCCAAATGAGAGACCGGTAAATGGCATTAAATGACTTTTTTACTGTGTGTAAATTATTGCAGGATTTTTAATCGTTTGGATGCTACAGACCCCCAAACATGATCATCCTCATTGGACCCCTGTCCAAAAATGTAAAAGGTGGCTATGTGCTATTTTAAGGTATAAAGACCCTGTTAAAACTGTGCCAAATATATATAAAAATAAATAATTTATTTGTAATAAATAAAAAATGCAACACAAAATATTTAGTTTTTATTGCTTTAAATTATGAAAACATTTAGTTATTATATTACGTTACATTACTACTGTTAGATGTTATTTAAATAAAAATGTATTACATTTATTTAAACCAAATGAATAATTTTTTAGTCAATCAAATTTGACTTATTTTAATATTTTATTCAGTTGTTTTTTTAAAAATCAAGTTTATATATTTATTTATTAATTTTATAAAATTGTTCATTTCAATACATTTTATTGGCTCATTTAAAATTAATTAAATCTTATTTTTATTATATAGTATCATTATTTATACATTTTTAATTATTTATTTAAATCAGATTTTATGTACTTATTTTAAGCAATTATTTGAATTATATATATATAAAAATAAATAATTTATTTGTAATAAATAAAAAATGCAACACAAAATATTTAGTTTTTATTGCTTTAAATTATGAAAACATTTAGTTATTATATTACGTTACATTACTACTGTTAGATGTTATTTAAATAAAAATGTATTACATTTATTTAAACCAAATGAATAATTTTTTAGTCAATCAAATTTGACTTATTTTAATATTTTATTCAGTTGTTTTTTTAAAAATCAAGTTTATATATTTATTTATTAATTTTATAAAATTGTTCATTTCAATACATTTTATTGGCTCATTTAAAATTAATTAAATCTTATTTTTATTATATAGTATCATTATTTATACATTTTTAATTATTTATTTAAATATGTACTTATGTACTTATTTTAAGCAATTATTTGAATTATATATATATATATATATATATATATATATATATATATATATATACATACACACACACACACACACACACACACACACACGTGTGTGTGAAAGAATAAATATATAAATTTTTTTTATTAGTCCATTTCTATTATTAGTACAGTTTTTCTCTAAACATTTCCATGGCACTGTATTGTAAAAGCGCTATACAGTTACGCATAAATTGAATCGCAGCAGTCTGAAACCCTCCGCATTAGTCAGCGTTGTGGTGTTTTTGTCTTCAGGTCACGCTGTATCATCTGCTGAAGCTCTTCCAGTCAGACTCCAGCGCCATGCCGAAGAAGACCGTCGTGTCCGAGTTCTACGACGAGATGGTGCGAATTCAAACAGAAGAACACAACATGATGTTACTGTATTCATAACACAGTCAATCCTAAAGCCTAAAAGCTGTGTTTCTGCAGATATTTCAAGACCCTACAGCCATGATGCAACAGCTCCTGAACACCACCAGACAGCTGACGTTAGGTGCCTACAAACACGAGACCGAGTGTGAGTGCTTCACAGCTTCGCTTACCTTCACAGCATGTGAAAATACTGTGAATCAGACAGCATACTTTCACAGTAGAGTCACAGCAGTTCTAATCGTGCAAACTAATCATTCAGTTGCAGAGCTGGAGTTAAGAACACGAGAAAAAGTGGAAGCGGCGAAGAAGAAGACGAGCCTGGAGATCTCAGAGCTGAAGGAGCGACTGAAAGCCTCCAGAGAAAACATCAACTTCCTGAAGGGAGAGATACGCAGACTGGAGGAGGAGGACCAGATGAAGGATCACTGAGGACTTCAGCATCATCAGACGGCTGTCCTGTAGCGGGACGGTCAACACAAACACGCGGGATTTAGTGGACTGATCAAATCACGTTTCTGGTTGTTGTCCAGATCATCAAAATATGTGCAAATACGAACCTTTGTAGTTCTCACTGACTTTTGTATGAATACATTTTTTTTTCTTTTTTACAAATATCGTCTGATTACTGTCCAGTTTTATTTAAACATTTTTTTTTTATTAAAATATTTAGTTTCAAGCAGCTTTACTAAATATTATCCCTTAAAGCCCATTATGAAATATCATATATATATATATATATATATATATGTATAATAATTTTTTAATAAATATAAATTTTTGAAAATGTATTTACAATTTAACAAAATATTTAATATATAACGGTTTAAAATCAAATAAATAAATAAATGCTTTAAAAAGTTTTTTGCCTCCACTAGAGGCTGCTAAAGCACAAACACACAACATTGGACAACCTCTTTAATATTTACTGTGTTGACAATAAATACTCAAATATTATATATAATATTAAATATAAGTAGTGCAAAATGAAAAACTCTATCGGTTTCTCTCTCTATCTCTCGGGCTCTCTCTATCGGTTTCTCTCCCTCTCTATCGGTCTCTCTCTCTCAGTCAATCTCTCTCTCTCAGTCAATTTCAATTTCAATTTAAGAGTGCTTTATTGGCATGACAAAAATTATACATTTGTATTGCCAAAGCAATTGCAGCTGGACTGCTCACAAATAGTACACATGTATTAACAGAAAGAAAAATAATAATATAATATATAAAAAGTATATATTCTCTCTCTATCGGTCTCTCTCTCTCAGTCTCTCTCTCTCTCTATCGGTCTCTCTCTCTCAGTCGCTCTCTCTCTCTCAGTCTCTCTCAGTCTCTCTCTCTCTCTCTCTCGGGCTCTCTCAGTCTCTCTCTCTCTCTCTATCGGTCTCTCTCTCTCTATCGGTCTCTCTATCGGTCTCTCTCTCTCTGTCTCTCTCTCTCTCTATCGGTCTTTCTCTCTCTATCGGTCTCTCTCTCTCAGTCTCTCTCTCTA